CCGATGGTCCAACGCGGCCAAGCGTTTAATGTCTGGCGCGAACTGGCCAGGTCTCTGATCCATACCATAAGACCGGTCTTACCGCAGCGTTATACACCCTACCTTTCACCGACAGGCTGACATTCCTCCGTCTCCATAGATGGTTGAGTCTGGAAAGCCACATGCGACTTGCTGATACGCGAAGTTACTTCCGCAGTGATGTGACGACCAGAGGTGACACAGCTACCAAGGTAAGTGAACCGATCCACCACTTCCAGTGGCTGTTCGCTAATAGCTAGAACCGGAAGTGTGTCGGTCCAGCAATCTTTGCATAACCATTGCATCGCACCCAATAAGAGCTATGTCGTCCGCATACTCCAGGTCTCTCGGTCGGTTACCTGGTAGAACTTCCACCCAGGTATAGTCTGAAAGAATAGAGTCAATCATGATTATTTCTATAATAAAATTGACGAGGAAAGGATAGATCTCCCTTACACCGCCACCGGAGTTACGGTAGAGACTGCATATTGGAAAGGAATTTAGCCGGCGCGCCCTTTATAGATAACCAGTGCCATAAGCTGGCGTGGTCAACAGAGGCCTTCAAGTCAAGGAAAACCACTATATTCGGTCTTCCATATGTGTGTCTCTGCTTTAAAAGTTGTCGAAAAGTAAATATATGGTCGATGCAACCACAGCCTAGTTTTCAGTGATTCGCTTCTCACGGAGACCAGTAAGTCGTCGAAATATGTTACTCGTGCGCTGTTTGAATGCAACGGAAGCAAGACTAGTGCATCGATGATTTTCACACAAACTACGTCGACCCCTCTTGAACATGGGCACAGCAGTTGACAGACCCCAGTCTGAAGGCACTTTTTCAGTGTCCCAAGTTGTGTTAAAACTATAAGCAAGTCCAGTCAACAGAGAGTCAGCACCATCTTTCAGCAAACCTGGAGGAAGGTCGTCGGGTTCCGGAGCCTTGTTTCACTTAAGCAAGGTGAGCTGATGTCGAACCTCATCCAAGTGGGTGGTGTAACATCTGCTTCCCGCGTCGACTCAGGGGATTTGGAAAACGGCAGTGTCACAGCAGGCCTACTGAACTGCTGTTCAAACGTTCCGCCCAACAGGTTAGTCGACGAGGATGAGAATGGATCGGTTGTCCATCTTTCTCAACTTTTGTCTCACTAACTGAAGGCTTTCTTGGACCCGTTTTACTGATGAGCTTTAATAGCACTGGATTTCTCTATCTCATGGTCCGTCGACATCCACCAACGTTCCCATTCGTTTGGAAGACTCCTTATCAGTCGTCGTTTCTGGATGTTACGGACTCCTAATAACTCAGATCTCATCGGAACCTGTTTACGTGCTGATCGATGCCTCAGAGATCCATCCACGATGCCCAACTTTGGTGCACAGCGAGTGACAAAGGCATTATTCATGGTACGTTTCAGACAATCCCAGTCAATGTTCTGCTCACCAACCTCCTTCATTCCTAATACTTGGTGGGACAGTTCGTCATGATATTGCTGAACGGTAGATTCCGAGTTCAATATACAGCTATAAAGGTTAGAAGATAGGCGCTTCTTTGGAGCGGGAAGAGTGAGCGCTAAGCAGGCGCGCACTAGAGCATGGTCGGAATTCAGGCACGCACTCCAAATCGACCGACAGTCTTGTTCTGGTGTGTGCCATCTGGGGCTGATGGCAATATAATCCGTTTGGATTTAGGTCATTGAGGAATTCGCTGGGCGCCAGGTGACACGGTGTGATCGGCACACTGTTGCAGGAATCGATAACCATTACCTGTTCGGCGTGCATAGACTCCGAAGTCGCCGCTTAGGTGTTGTTCATAGTCGGAAAGTCGACCCACTTGGGCTTTGATGTCACTATCAGCGATCACGATGTCAGTATTCATAGCCGTACCTGGAACAGATGAGAGCTGTTGCTACAAATCGTTTTTGTTACTTTCTGAACTGCATTCAGCAGGGGGCATAAACCGAGGCGATGTAAAGCTACATGGTCTTCAGACACTGCCTATTAACTCCACTGGAGTTAAGAAATCGAATGGTACACATGCGGCTGTTTACTGGTATCCACTTGAGCGAATCGTCTTCAGCACGTTTGCTGAGGGCAATACCAACAATGTCGATACCTTGAGCCATTGACTCGGTAGCGTCAGAGATGCGAAGAGTGTAGTCATCGTCGTCCGAATCAGAACCAGGGAGTCGAAGATTTTTCACGACGCTGTTATCATGTCTTTAGGTTTCGGAGACATTACATATCAATACCTAGTGAGTGTAGAGTGAGAGTTAGTGCTGTCTACTGGCCGATCTGAGCTAGATTGCGACTGTCAAAGAATCAACGTGAAATGATACTCTGGGCTACGTGTATCGATGGCAGCAGCTGCGAGCTCAGCTGCAGTCTGTTACTCAGTAGACGAGGAAGAAGAGAGGGGAGAGGAGAGGGAAGGAGACTGGGGAGTTTTGTCGACGTTGTCGAACGGGGAGATGATTCTCTCCGAAGGGTTTCGTTCGGGGTGTCTTCGATTCAGCAGTTACAAAACAATGGGGTACATAAGGGTTCGCTTGAGGGACTCCACTCGAGCCCTTGGCTTAATAGCCTGATCCACAATGTAGTGGGGAGCAAGTCCAGCTTTGGAGTGTGATTGTAAAAACCCATACGGACCTGTTTGAGATATGTCACTCAGCTTTTGAAGATTTAGAATAGCGCACACGTGTTTTACGACAGTGTGATGTTACGCACCTGCGACCACGACCAGCCGAGACGGGACTTGGTGGGTTTGCACCAATTTGACCAGGGACTACTTGGCTTGACGCATGCGATAACAAACCATTGAGCACCAGATGGTGCCCTACTCCTGCCGTCCAAGACAATGCTTGGCGCACTTACTTTATGCTACTCAAGTTGTGGGCGTATAATCCGTGGATCTATTGTCTCCCATGGCTTGGTTTTAATGGAAGTGGGCCATCGACGTCTCCTTAACCTCCGAAGAGGATTGTGAGGCTGAGTTTGTCTGGCCCCTAACCGTTGCGCTGCCTGATATGAGTGGCTCTGAAAACACTGGCAAAGTGCCGCCCAGCTTTGCTCAGTGAGTCATAATAGTACGCTAATCATCGCAACAAGCTAAGGTGCAGTTTCGTTGCGCAAACACTGCACTCATCTAGTTCCTATACCATCGAGCTAGGCGTATGTACATGTGCGCATGTGTGAATATGATGATGAATTTACAAATTGCGGTATACTTGCTATGCGACCACCTGTTTATGGCGACCGGCCGATAACATCCCCAACGTTTGCTCTAAGTTAAATCATCATCATCATCATCATTATACACGTTAGCTAGAGGTGGGAAACACCTCAGCTACTGTGCCGCAATACATATAGAAAAAGGAAAATAAGTACAACAGTGGCATGCCAGCTGAGCTACCAGCAACGGATAGGCATCGTTCCGGTAAGCTACCAACCGGGTACTAGCAAAAAGAAAAATTATTGTTTTGCTCTACGAAATGAGATCGTGGTTGGAGGTGGAGGCTGAAAGGGATGGGGAGGGACAAAGAAACTCACAGCAGGAACGCCACTGAGGTCGGCTCCTTGCCATGTCAGCAAGTGTATCTAGCTAAACGTGTTCATCGTCTTTTGGACCCCAACTAGGGGGCCGTGACGCTCCAACCGAGGCCAGCTCCGAAGTGAGGGCCTTCATTCATCTCGACCAAGTCATCGCTTTGCCACCCCTCCTCTTCTTCCACCCACGTCCGCGGTGAGCGAACAAGTACGTCGTGGAAGTCGGTGGGCTGGCATGCGCAACACGTGGTCGAGCCATCGGAGACTGGTGCGTTAAATGACGTTGCTGAGCGGTTCAGTTCCTTTTTCTGTGCCGTAAACAAGGCGTCGAACACGCTCGTTTGCTTACTTGGTGTTCCCACCAGATGTGAGCCAAACTGCGAAGGCACCGATATTCGAACGTAACTAGCTTCTTTATATCCGCCGATCTTAGGGACCAGGTTTCACAGCCGTACAGTAAGGTCAAACGTACTGCTGCATTGTACACTCTACGCTTCAGGGCAAGAGTGATGTCGCGCCGCCGCCATAGGTAGCGAAGGTTAGCAAAAGCACTTCGAGCTTTTGCTATACGGTTCGTGATCTCATCTTCAATCACCCGGGCGCTGATACAATTTCAAGGTAGTTGCTTTTCTGAACGACTTCTAGCTGATCCCCATCAAGGGTCAGCGCAGGAGGCGATCTCTGCCAATCAAGGCGGCCACTTTTTGGCGGCCCCTTGAGTGGTTGCCTTTTTTTGATCTATTATTTCACCCAGACCGTTTTCTGGGATTTGCAGGCCTTGACAATTTTACCCTTATCAAGTCTTTGTTCCGTTGTCTACCGGCCGTTTGGTACCGCACTCGAGCTCCCTCCGGGAGCTGTTTGTAAACTTCGCGTCCAGTCGGCTTAAATCCCATTCGATGATGCGGTTGGTAAATGAGTAAACCTAAGGTAGTTGAGTTGGATTGCTGCATCTTGCTTTAAAGCATGTGGAGCTGTCGCAGTACTGGCCACGGCAGCTATCATAAAACAGTACACCGGTGCGCCGCACTTCGTTGCCACGTCGAAACCACCACAATTCACGCGAAGGCCGAGAATACTGCGCTGCTTCGAAGCAGTAACCTCTTGGTTACAAGGACACCGAATGACCAGTCGAAGTTGGTGACACTTGTTGCTTCACTATCCTATCAAGTTGCAGTCATTCGCCTAAATCACTTCACCGTTCACCCGCTAGGACACACTACTTACCTTGCTCCGCCTTTTCCGACAAGGATGTGACACTACTGTTGCGGCTTGTAATTATCTGGATTTTTCTCCAGCACCCGGTGTTTTCCGGATAGTGCCGATCTACCTCATTTATTTTAGCGAAATTTAGTTACTTCTGTTGCACTGTAACCTCATCACAACCGCCTTATTTGTGCTTGACTTCAACTACAGTTGCAACTCCCATCACTATCTACTTGCAGATTCCGTCAACTCAGAAATTTTTGCTGATCTGGAGCATAGTCTCTTCATTCTCTGTTTGGACGACATGGCTCACTTGCCCACTAGTCAGCCTACGAGTGGCCCGATCACATTGGACCCACGTGAAACTGCCAGTGCAGCAAATTTACTCCACGGCAATTTGACTAACTCAGGGAATCGATGGTTCGACAAGACTCTACAATTCATCATATCCCGCGATGGTTCGATGGGCGTTAATTTCGAACATACACCTTCGGATGCGGGAGCTTTCGTTCCAATAACTTCTGATGTATATACTGCCTTCGATGATCTGGTCACAGACGCGTCCGGTTCTTTGCCACATTTCGCGTTTCCCAAAGAATTAGACTGGATTCCCTTTCCGAACATGACAGAAGAGATTGCAGTTGCATATGATTCGTTGAAGCAGTGAGTCCTTCTATAGGTTCCCACTATATTGTTGAAAACTTCCTACTTACTCAGTGGACGGTGCAGTTCGTAATCCGTCTGTGTAGTGCATCAGTGCGCTACACAGATACTTTGTTTCCGCTTGACCACCATCAATCGCGTGCAGACTAGATGCCGTGAGGTCTCCCGCACCTACGTTGATTCGAACCGGTGACCTCTGAGTTACGAAGCACTCGCTTCGTCTTTTCGGTCACCGGTCGACTAGTGACCTAAATGGATCCTACCAAATTGCTGTCCATTTGATACCTCTTTTCGATCTGTCCCGATCTGCACTTAAGCGAAAACGATAGTGTCCTTTTTTCACCTCCGCGCTTCGGAACAACTTCCCTACTTTAGGTATATAAAGCCTATTTTGACTTGATTTGAAATGGCATACATTCTGACAGCGCATCGTCTTTGGATCTGATTTGGCTGCTTTGTTGGTAATTATCAGTGGTCGGTAAGCTTGTCCGAACACCGCTCTTTTCCCTCTATTAGCACTTGGGCTACGTTTTCCATATCGTATAGGGGTTATGAAATCTGGATCATCAGTACCTCACAGCCTACCTTGGTGACCATCACTTTTAAAGCCGGTAGCCCAAGCCCTTAGTATTTTCGGTCACTTCATTTTGCTGCTATCTTCGAGCGGTTGCTGTTGTGTTTTAATGTAGTCTACATCTATAATTCGGAGTTCGCAGTTTTACGTGTGTACTTCGAACAAAGGTGACAGTTGTTGGAAAGGAATCCTGTTTATCAGGTATGTGGGAATGAAACCATCAGCTAACGTACACCTTACTGCCGGTTTTCTCCATTGGTTTGGATTTATTGACGTTCCTACTCCTTAATACAATTTTCATAATGTTGGTTATCTTGTTTGTGATTCAATTCAGCTCACCATCGCTAGGTTGCTTCTCACGAGGGTTTTTTAATTTTCAGCTTTCCTCTCTTTATCGGACCATCTGTGACCTCTCGTAATGGTCTACTTTCACTTTGTCATGCAGTTTGAGCTGATTGGTTCTTGTCAAAGATAAACGGCTTTTCGCGCCTTATGGGTATAAAATAGCATCGGATTATGCCATCGCGACGAGACTGGACCTTACTATAGTGTGGTGGTTTGCTCTTATTAACCACCCATTTAGCTATGCTGGATTGCGCCTTCAGAGCCACACATAACAGATTAGCCAGTAGTTAGAGACCAGACCAACTCATTCTCCTGGCCCTCCAGGTTGGTGGTTGGAATGAGGACGGTTCCTTACTCCGTAAAACGGACTCTTCGTAGCACAAAGCCAAAACGCCGCTATCTTGAGGTCAGCTTTTTGAATCAACATGGGCTATGGTTGTGTTCACTAATCGTTCTTCGGATAATCTTCGAGAGCTGATGAGGAACGTCGTCCTCGACGGTACTAGCGACAATCACTGTGTCTTCTTCTGCGGCATGTTTGGAACTAAGGCGGGCGAGATCGTCGACTTGACCAAAATCCTGAGTTCGGCAGTAACAAATTTCGATGTTATAACCCAGAAGGATGACCGCCCAACGCTGAAGTCGGTTAGCCGAGTATGCGGAAATGCTTTTCTTTGACCTGAAGATTGAAAGTAGGGGCTTGTGATCGGTCAATAGCGTGAATCGCTCGCCATACAGCATCCTGTGGGACTTGGTGACGGCACAGAAGATGCTAAGGTCTTTTTTTCTCGATTTGACCATAGTTCTCTGCAGGCTCATGGTGCAGGAGATGTGCATAACAGCTTTCTCAGAACCATTTGGGAATCGGTAGGAGAGAACTGCTCCGATCCCTTAGGCAGAGGCGTTAGCAGCGAACAAAATCGGCAAGGTTGGGTTGTAGAGTATCAGCAGTGGATCAGAACTCAGCATGGCTTTCAGGCGAACGAAATCTTTCTCGCATGCAGGGGACTGGTTCCAAGGAACGTCCTTTTGCAATAACCAATTGAGCGGGGCTCGAACATCGTTTAGCGATGGCAGGAAGGCGCTATGGTAGCTGGTGAGATCCAGGAGGACCGCAGTTGTGACACATCCGCTGGAGCTGGTATTTGCTGGATGGCTCTGACGTTCTCAGGATCAGGATGACGACAATTGGCATCGAAAATGAAACCAAAGTATTTGATCGACGGAAGGAAGAGTTGGCATTTCTCGGCTTTCAAGCGGAAACCGTACTCCTGGACCCGTTGAAGGACGGCAACCAGACGCTCTCGAAACACTTCTGGGGTGCGACCAACAATGAGTACATCGTCCAGGTATGCAACCGTACCACAGATCATAGCGTCCATCGTCTGTTGAAGAATGGCTGGAGCGATTTTGGCACCAAACGGGTGCCTGGTGTATTGGAGAAGACCACCATGCGTATTGATCGTCAGAAGGGCTTGTGACTCTGGGGCGACCTCGATCTGCAGGTAGGCGTCTGCCAGGTCGATTTTAGCGAATCACATGCCACCGTTGAGTGTTGTGAAGATGTCGGCTGGGATCGGTAGCGCGTAGCAATTTGGCTCTAGTGTTGTATTGAGACCGGTGGAGAGATCGGCATAGATGCGGAAGGATACATTCGGCTACTTGACCACGATGATCGGCGCTGCCCAGGCGGAATAGGACACAAGCACCAGGACGCCCATATCTTCCAAACGTTGGAGTTCGGCGTCGACCAAGGGTAGACCTGCGTATGGCACAGGCCTTTTGGGACTGAATACCGGTTGAGCACCAGGTACGGGTGCGTGTACAGCGGCCCAGATCATCCTGGAATACCGGGGCGAACTGTCTCATGAGGTCGTCGGTTCGGTCATTTCGTACGGCCGAAGAATATACCGCGTTGCTGATGCTCCGAAGGTCGGCCAAGCCAAGGGTTTAGAGCCCGTCGAGACCAAGCAGGTTGAGCTTCGCCTTCGTGTTGTGGCAGATCGCGTTGAAGGTGGAGCCTCGGAAGGAGACGGAGCGGTGCAGTTGCCCAGTTAGCTGCACGCGACCACCACAGGCGCTGGTGGCAGATTGGGAGGTCAGTTAGAACGGTGGCTTGCCAAGCGATCGCCGGAGATCTTGGGGGATGATCGTGATGTCCGACGCATTGTCCAACTGCAATCGGACGGACTGACCGTTGATCAAGACCTCGACGAATTTTCTCCTATCCGCAGCGTAGACTTGGAACGTGGCCAGCAGGCTCAGGGAGCTGCCAGCCTGACCAGGTTTGGGTGGGCGTCTGGGTCGGGACCTCTTTTTTGGATCGCGGGTGGGGCCAGCATAGTTTTAGCCCCCTTGGGAGATGTAGGATGGCAGTAACCATCCCGGTGCCCCACCCTGCCACAACGTTGACAACGATGCTGGCGGAACTTGCAGTCACGGTGGAAATGCCAGGCACCACAGAATCGGCACGCGTAGGGTGTGGACTTCGCTCGATCGGATTGGGTGGGGGGCGCGGACGATTGCGCCCTCGGTGCTCTGACTGCCTGGACCATACCAGGTGCGGCGGCGTTCTGGATCATGGCAGAATCGTGCTGGAGTGTGACTGAGCTATCCTGTTGTAGCTTGGACAGGAAACGCGTCCGGATATCGCCATTGTGTGGAGACTGAAGGCCAGAGACGAAAATCAAGCATTTGGATTTGTCCGCGGTGAGTGGACTAAGTTGAAAACGTTGGCATTCACGGTTGACCACGCTCGCGTACGTGATGAAGTCGTCGGTATCACGCTTGGCGAGCTGCAGACATTGATAACGAGCGTTGAACAGAAACTGCTCGCCAAAAATCTGGGACAACGTTCGGACCGTCTCGTCTAAGGTAACATTGCGTCGGTTCTTCGGCAAGATGAAGTTGGTGTAGCGTGAGTGTTCGAGCGTACCAAGTTTGTGCAGAAGCAGCTGGAACTTCCACGCGCCGTCCTGGCAAGCCAAGTCAACGGTGAACAGGTCTTACCGCTTATACCAAAATTCGAACGTTGTCCCGGACTTGGCGTCGGACAGAAATTCGCTGATGCCGCTAACCACTGACTGAGAATTAGCACTTGGACCTGCCTGAAGGGAAGAACTGAAGAGTTTTGCGGTTAGGACGGACATCAATTTAAGTTGTTGCTGCAGCATAAGTTTCAACTCGGCGTACTCGTCTGTCATGGTTCGTAAACTATATCGCCACTGTTAAGATTGGGAGACGCCTCTGATAAGAACTTGAGCCTGATACGATTGTCAGCGGCACGGTCTGAGCACGCCTACGATAACGGCTTGGAACGCTGGCCGATCGAACGGATTTGCGCTGACTTGATGGCGTTAGCTAGCCCGGGGTACGCGCTGTTGAGGCGGAAAATCGCGCTAATGTGAGAACGTTCCTAGCCGCACGCATTCGGGTAGACGCTGAGCCCTCCTACGGATGAGGCTATGCACTCGAGAGGGGTGAACGTACACCCGCGCGTGGCTTAGAGGCGAACGCTGCCCGGCTATCGACGCACACAAGAATCACGTGACCGAACCGACTCCCAACTGACGGGGAAGATAAAGCAAGATAAGTGATCCTCTGAAGGCTGTTTGACGACCAAGAAAGGGTGAATCACAGCCAATACTATGGGTCATTAAGTTAGTGAAAACAGCTCCCACAACGTGGTGGTGGTTTGTAAATGAAGATTGTCAACATGTGCGCAGTTGTGCCGCGTCTCGGAGTAGCTGAAATCTGCTGCGTTGGAGGGAGGGTTGAACTCCGCCTTCCACAGCCATTTCGCCGGAGTTTGTGGCGCTTTCTTGCGGGGATATTTGACGGGAGCTGGTCTTCCATCTCCGACGGGATACACGGTCCTTGTGGCCGTGCTAGGCTCGAATTGTGGTTCCATGCAATCAGTGTGGAGCGGACTACGGTCCATCCACCGTCTTGTGTGCGCTTGATTTCCCAAATACAGCGTGCTTGTTTTTCGAAATATTTGAAACACTGGTAGCCCGCGTTGGTTGCTTACCTGTTGATCGTTTCTCCGAGCTTGATAAAGGGATTGCATACTTTTCGTCAC